TCCGGGCCCGGCCCCCGCCCGGCCGACCTCCCGCTCCTCCCGCCGCCGCCGCCACCCGCCCCGGCCCGGGAGCGGCGGCTGTGGAGCAAGGCCCGGAGCTCGGCCTTCTGGGACACGGGTGCGGGCCAAGGCCTTCGGGCCCGGCGAGTGGGCCGAGAACTTCCGCCTGGGCCCGGCCACCTTCGACTACCTCTGCGGGCGGCTGCGAGGGGCCATCCAGCGGCGGGACACCAACATGCGCCGGGCCATCCCCGCCGAGGTCCGCCTGGCCATGACCCTGTGGCGCCTGGGTGCATGCACCGAGTACCGGGCCGTGGAGCAGCAGTTCGGCGTCTCCCGCTCCACCGTCTGCAAGATCCTGCGCGACGTCTGCGAGGCCGTGGTGGCCATCCTCACCCCGGCTTACGTGGCCGCCCCCGCCGGGCCCCGGGCCGCTGGCTTCCCCGCCCCACCGCAGCTGGCCGGCGTGCTGGGGGCCCTGCACATCCCCATCCGGGCCCCCAACGAGAACGCCGCTGGGTACTTCAACCGCCGGGGCTGGCACTCGGTGGTGCTGCAGGCTGCCGTCGACGCCCGCGGCTGCTTCTGGGACGTCAACGTCGGCTGCCCGGGGAGGCAGACCGACGCCCAAGTGCTCCGGGCCTCCGAGCTCTACCAGCGCGCCCAGCAGGGGGAGCTCTTCCCCGGGGCAGCCCGGGACGTGGGAGGCGTACAGGTGCCCGTCTACCTTCTGGGTGGCCCGTCCTACCCACTCCTGCCCTGGCTGATGAGGCCTTACCGGGCCGGGGAGCTCACGCCGGCCCAGAGGCGGTTTAACGAGTATGCCGCTGCCGCCCGCACCGTGGTGGGGGTGGCCTTCGGGCGCCTCAGGGGTCGCTGGCGCTGCCTGCAGAAACGCAACGATACGGACGTCTCTTTCCTGCCCACCCTGATCGCCGCCTGCTCCACCCTCCACAACGTCTGCGAGATGCACGGCGACGTCTTCCAGCCCCGCTGGATGGTGGAGGAAGAGGAGGAGGAGGAGGAGGAAGAGCCCTTCGAGGACGGGGAGGGAGAGGAGGGTGCCGCGGCTGAGATCCGTGAAGCGCTGGCTCTGACCTTGCGGGACTGAGGGATAGAACCCAGGAGTCCTGGCTCCCAGCCCCCTCCCTGCTCTAACCCACCAGACCCCACTCCCCTCCCAGAGCCGGGGAGAGAACCCAGGCGTCCTGGCTTCCAGCCTTCCTGCTTAATCTGCTGAAGGTTCCCGGCCACAACCTGAAATTGCCTTTCCTGTGGGTGGGGGTAGGGAGGCAGGTGAAGTGAGGGTGCCAGGCAGGTGTGTGGGTAGGGGCTGGGTGTCAGAACTGGGGTGTGGGAGGGGACCTGGGACTTTGAAACCAGGCTCGGGAAGGGGCAGTTGAAGTGGGGGGTGGGCAGTGGGGGGGGGGATATTGGGAGGAACCGGACGCCTGGATTCTCTGTAGCCACAATAAACGAAAACTTCAACCCAAAGGAGCTGTGCTGTAACTGTCCGCCAACACCTGACCCTTTTCTCTGCCCCACTCCCACCCCATAGCTGCCTGGTCAGCCCTAGCCCGGCTCGTTCAGCAGCTCTGGTTGGCTGGCTGGCCTTCCAGATGGACAGATGGACAGCAAGGAGGACATGCAGGGAGGGGCTGTATCTGTCTGTCCAGCCAGTCTACCCATCCAGAGGTGGCCCCATCTCAGTGCTGGGCGCAGGGTCCCTGTGTAACCAGCCTCCCCCCGCCCCAGAGGTGGCCGCATCTTTATAAATGCCGATGGAATAAAGGACTTGTGGAGGGGGCGGGGCTTGCTGCAGGACTCTTGAAAAGGGGGCGTGGTTTAAAGGGCTCGGGGAGAATGGGATCCATGGGGGGTGGAGCTAAAGAGCAAACTCATACCGGAGGCGTGGATTAGTCATGGAAGTTAGAAGAGGGTGTGGTTTGTGAGGCAAGGGGCGTGGCTTGATCATGGATCCTAGAAAGGGGCGTGGCCTGAGGGTGCTGCCCCTGTCCCTGCCCTGCAATGACAGAAGCGGCCTCGTGACACCCGCACTTCCCCTTAGGAGTCGGGTGGGGCTGTTCCCGCACGCGGCTGAGTTAACGGGACCCTGCTGGGGCCGCCTGGGAGACTGGGCACCCCATGGGGAGCTGCCCCCACACCCCAACACCCTCCCTGCAGCCCAGCATCCCTGGGGCCCGTGCGGGAGAGCACCCCCTGCTGAGCCCCACTCCCACGAGCGCCCCAGCCCTTGTCCTAGACTTATGTTTTCAACAGCCACCGCCCCGCCCCAGAGGTGGGCGCATCTCAGCGCCGGGCGAGGGGTCCCCGTGTAACCAGCCGCCCCCCCCCAGAGGTGGGCGCATCTCAGCGCCGGGCGAGGGGTCCCCGTGTAACCAGCCACCCCCCCCCAGAGGTGGGCGCATCTCAGCACCGGGCGAGGGGTCCCCGTGTAACCAGCCGCCCCCCCCAGAGGTGGGCGCATTCAGCGCCGGGCAAGGGGTCCCCATGTAACCGGCCGCCCCGCCCCAGAGGTGGGCGCATCTCAGCGCTGGCCAAGGGGTCCCCGTGTAACCGGCCGCGCCCCCCCAGAGGTGGGCGCATCTCCTTAAGACCAGGAGATGTAATCCCCATTTATTGTTGAACAGAATTGTTATGGGGGGGGCTGTTTTTTGCGGGGGTGGGGGGGCGGTAATCTCATTGGGATGTTGCCAAGAGCCGGTGCACGGACAGTAACTGAGCCGTCCTCGTATTTACTAACAACCCCAAATTTATTTAATCAGTAAAATAAAATACATGGCTCTCTGACCCCGTTCCCTGACCCCCACCCCTGAGCCAGCCAATGCCCGCCCTGGGGCCAGGTGGGAGCTGGTGCCCCCTAGATGGGGACAGGCCCATGCCCCATTCCCCGCCCCCTGAGTCAGCCAGTCCCCGTCCTGGGGCCAGGTGGGAGCTGGTGTCCCCTAGAGGGGACAGGCCCCTGCCCCATTCGCTGCCCCCCTGAGCCAGCCAGTCCCTGCCCTGGGGCCGGGTGGGAGCCGACGCCCCTAGAGGGGACAGGCCTCATTCCCCCCCAGTGTCTCGGCCCCTCAGAGGGTCTGGTAGCCACCCCGAGCCCTGCGCCGGCCCACCAAGTAGGCGATGACGATGATCAGGATCAGGACCAGCAGAACCACCCCAATGATGATGGGCACTAGCGCGCTGTGCTGCTCCTCTGGGCACAGCTCGGCTGCAAGAGAGGAGGGGCAGGGGGTGAGACCGGGGGGGCTATGCTGGGTGGTGGGGGGCAGGGGGAGATAAGAGGGCTATGGGGCAGGGCAGGGCTCAGATAGGGGGAATGGGGGGCAGGGGGAGAGAGCTTTATGGGGCAGCAGAGGGGATGTGGGTTGGGAGAGGGAGCTGAGCGTGGGGCTGTGAAGGGGCAGGAATGGGGGGCCAGGAGGGAGGTTGTGGGAGGCAGATCTGGGGCCGAGGGGGGCTGGTACCTTCCCCGAAGCCGCCCGCGGGCAGGGCGAAGGCCTGGATCCGCTCGTGCAGGGCGTCAAGGTGGAAGGCCGGGCCCAGCGCCACGCTGCGGTTCTGGCACTGGTACGAGTGCCCCATCCGGGCTTCGAACTCCCGCAGGTTGGCGTTCTGCACCGTAAATTGCCTCTCTGGGGGGGGTAAGGGGGGCAGAGATCAGAGCCAGCCCCCCAAATCACCCACCTCACCGACCACGAGCCTTCCCTGAAAGGCACCCCGAGCCCCCCGAAGTCACCCCAAACTCCCAGTCACCACAAACCCTCCAATCCCCCAAAGTCACCCCTGAGCCCCCAAAGTCACCCTGAACCCCTCAAAGTCCCCCTGACTCCTCAAAGTCAACTGAAACCCCCAGTCACCCCAACCCCCGAGACCCCCCCAAAGTCACCCCAACTCCTCAAAATCACCCCAACCCCCCAAAGTCACCCCGAAGCCGTCCGATTCCCCAAATTCACCCCAACCCCCTGATCCCCCAAAGTCACCCCACTCCTCAAAGTCACCCTGACCTCTCCGTCACCCCAAACCCTCAAAGTCACCCCGAACGCCCAATAACCCTGACTCCCCTGAACTCCCAAAGTCACCTCCAACCCCCCAAAAGTCACCCTAACCCCTCAAAGTCACCCCAAATATCCAGTCACCCCAACTCCCCCAAATCCCCAGTTACCCCCGACCCCCCGAGCCCCCAAAAGTCACCCCAACCCCTCAAAGTCACCCTGACGCCTCTGAAGTCAACCCTGAACTCCCAATGTCACCCCGAGACCCTGAACGTGCCCCATTGCCCTAAACCTTTCCCCCAACTCCTCCCAACCTTCCCCCGCACAGCCTGGACCCCCGTTCTCACGTCTGGCCCCAGGGAACTGGATGGTCAGGCTGACTCCGACCTCATGCAGGTAGACGGAGTTCTGGGTTTTATTCTGGGGAGACACAAGGGACAGGAGACGTTTGGACCCTCAACGTTGGCCCGGCACAGTGATGCAGCTGCCTCTGGGGTGCAGCACAGCAGCTGTTTATACAACCCCCGCCCCGCTCCCTGCCCCACCGCGCCCCCTAGCGCCACCCTGGGGCCAGCCCCGCCTGCCAGGGGAGAGCGCCCCCTGCTGCCCCCACCCCGCTCCCTGCCCCACAGCACCCCCTAGTGCCGCCCTGGGGCCAGTCCTGCCTGCCAGGGGAGAGCGCCCCCTGCTGAGCCCCCCGTCCTCCCTCCCTGCCCCACAGCGCCCCCGGTCGGTACCTTTACGAAGGTGAAGTTCAGGGAGCCCTGAGCGAAGGTGAGCTCCATGGTGGCTGACTCGTCGGAGCATTTTCCCGACACCTTGGTGCGGTTCGGCTGAATGGCAAAAGCTCCCCAGAGCTGGAAGAGAGAAAGAAGTTGGGTGACCTGGTATCACCTTCATCCCCGAACCCCACGAGTCCTGGGGAGAGAATCCAGGAGTCCTGGCTCCCAGCCCCCACTGCTCTAACCATCAGCCCCCACTCCCCTCCCAGAGCCGGGGAGAGAACCCAGGAGTCCTGGCTCCCAGCCCCCCCTGCTCTAACCACTAGCCTCCCCTTCCCCATACCTGCGCTTTGGAGCCGTTCTCATATTGGACCCAGATCTGGAGGCCCGATTGCACCCGGAGGCAGACGTCCGACCCATTCCGCACCGAGTAGTTCCCGACCGCCACATCTGGGGGTCCCGGCGGGCCCGCCGTGGTGAGGTGGGGGGTCGTGTGCACGGTGGTGTGATTGGCTGGATGGGACGTGGTGTGATTGGCTGGGTGGGACGTGGTGTGATTGGCCGGGTGGGTCGTGGTGGGGGGCGTCGTGTGGTGGGTCGTGGTGTGATTGGCCGGGTGGGACGTGGTGGGGGGCGTCGTGTGGTGGGTCGTGGTGTGATTGGCCGGGTGGGTCGTGGTGTGATTGGTTGGGTGGGTCGTGGTGTGATTGGCTGGGTGGGTCGTGGTGGGGGGCTTCGTGCGGTGGGTCGTGGTGGTGGTGGCGGTGGTTTTGGTGAAAGACGGCACGAGGGTGGCCGATTTCTTATGGCGGGGGCAGCTGTCGCCGTCACACGGGGCCTCGAGCCCGGAGCCGGGCGTGGTGAGTTCCTGGGCCCCCTCGCCAGGCAGGGTGGAGATGCAGACTAGAGGGGTGAGGAAGATGGTGGGGAGGAACAATTAGACCTCCAAAGTAGATACAGGGCACGAATATGCCTCCCCTGGCTAGTTGTGTTACTGTGGCCATCATTAGGGTCCAGAGTAAATTTCTCTCCTCCCACAGCCTCTGCCCTCTGACTGCCCCCTTGCCCATCATGCCCATCTCAGGCACAATCTTTTAACTCGCCTTCTTTAGGGAACCAAGTCATTTTGCCACCATTAGGGTCCAGAATTAACACCCCCGAAAAATCCAGGTTCGATCCTCCATATTCCAAAGGATGCAGGCCCCGCAATTACATTGTGCCCTCAAATCCTGCCCCCTAAGTGATCCTCTCTCAGCCGACACCAGCTGCTACATGAAATGTACCATCAGAGTTAACACCCCATTTAAGAATATAGGTCCTGTGAGATAGAAAGTAGGGGCAAAGCCCCTACCCCAGCTCTCCGCAAAATCCTTCCTGCCTTGTTGTCCAGCCACCCACTCTGATGCTATGTTTCATGTAGCAGCAGAGTTGGTGGCTCGTTTCCAATTGTGCCCTCGGTAGGTTTCAGAGTTAACCCCGCTTAACATTCTCTTGGGGACCAAAAAAATGGACTTTGAGGACGACTCCACAGATTGCGATGGTCTGAAAACGTTGAAATAACCTTGTTGGCAGCCAGGATATTCACAAGACACGGTGGGTGGGGTTACATCTGTTAGCGGATGATGGATTTATGTGTGTTTTGAAATCAAGTAGGTTTTCTTGCTCATTTTTCACCCAACATTTCAGGGAAAAGGAACATTGTCCCTGTTTTTTGTGGGGGGCGGGGGGAACTGATGGGGAAACAGAAAAAATCCCATTTTTTTCCACCCCAGATTCAGGCTTTCGTGGCCAAGTCGGAGCACTATAAATCTTAAAATATTTTCGTTGTCAGAATTGCGTAACGTTAACCTTTGGTTCCATGCAAAAATAAATAAAAATCTCCTCTCTGCTGTGAAATTTTTGGAGGCTTTGTGCCACCCAGGCGAATCGTCCAAATTTCATTTTTTTTTCTGTGCCAAATGTGGAAGGGGGCAATATTTGGTTCCCCACCAAGATCTCAAGCAAACCCCGAATGCCCGGCCAGTTTTCTGCTGACTGCTGAAAACAATAACATGGAAATTCAATTTTGGGGGGCTGGGGCGGGGGAAGGGAGCTTAGCCGCCCCCCACCCACCCCAGTTTAGCCGCCTCCACCAACTTGTTCGGCTTCGGTGAGTGCCGACCCGGCAGGAAATGCCCCTTTTCCCACCCAAATCTTTGCGGAAAACCAACATTGTTTAAAAATGACCCCGGAGCAAAACAGATTTTATCGCACAGGTGAACAAAGTTAAATGGAAGTTGGTGGGGGCTGGTAGCCAGGACTCCTGGGTTCTCTCCCCGGCTCTGGGAGGGGAGTGGGGTACGGTGGGTTAGAGCAGGGGTGCTGGGAGCCAGGACTCCTGGGTTCTCTTCCCGGCTCTGGGAGGGGAGTGGGGGCTGGGCGCCAGGACTCCTGGGTTCTCTCCCCGGCTCTGGGAGGGGAGTGGGGTACGGTGGGTTAGAGAGATGCCACCTGTAGAAAAGAGCAGCACCCACCTGCCAGGCAGAGCAGCAGGGACAGGGTCCTCATGCTGGAGAGGCTGCTGAATTGTCCGTCCATCCCTGGGTCCGTCCCTCGCTCTGTGCCTCCCTCCTGTCCCGTCCTGCACTTCACTGATAAACTGAAGGAAACGAAACCAGTTCCCTTTCCAAGGTCGTGCACCCGCCTCCCAGCTCCAACAACACGCACAGATAACAAGTCCTCGAGGCTGAGATGCGCCCACTTCTGGGGCGGGGCGGCTGGTTACCCAGGGACCCCTCGCCCGGCGCTGAGATGCGCCCACCTCTGGGGTGGGGCGGCTGGTTATACAGGGACCCCTCGCCTGGCGCTGAGATGCGCCCACCTCTGGGGTGGGGCGGCTGGTTATACAGGGACCCCTCGCCTGGCGCTGAGATGCGCCCACCTCTGGGGCGGGGCGGCTGGTTATACAGGTGCTGAGATGACAGGCCCGGGGGCTGGGCTGGGGGTGGCGGGACGCCGCGTAAGATGGACTCGTGCCTGTGATGGACTCTGGCTGCCTCGGACCACAGGCCGGGGGGGGGGGGGGAGGGGCTGATGATTCAGGGCTTTCAGTTCCCCATGAAGATCCGTGGACGGCGCTGAGTCAGCCCCCAAGAAAGGCCTGTGACCTTCACGTGGTTGGCCTGCAGCTGGGGAGGCTGGGGGGTTAGAGCAGGGGGGGCTGGGAGCCAGGACT